TGGATGCGTTTCTTAGCAAGTACAACATTATGAACATTATTCGAGCTCACCAAGTTTTCCAGGATGGTGCTAAAGTTTTCAATAAAAAGCTTGTGTCAATTTTTTCCGCACCAAACTATATGAATAGGCTTGGGAATAAGGGAGTGGCCGCGACTTTAAAGAAACAAGGAGAAGGTTTTCATACACTTGTTGAATTTTTTGAACCAGCTAACATAGAGTACATGATACCATTTATGGTGTAATGGATCGGAGCAAGCAAGGTGAAAGCGGCGCGAAGAAATCCCTCGTTTCTGAAGATACGCAGTATTGGGTTGCATAATGATCCCAAATCTACAAAATACATCGATGGAGTCTAACCACCACTGCTATTTCGTGCACCTTCATGGGTACTAGGGTGAAGGTCCATCATCCTGTAGGAAAGTTCCCACAGTATGAGCAATGCTGCATGAATGGTGTACACGAGGTACTGTAATGGCAGAGCTCCAGGTATTCCCACTCCTCATTGCTTTAATGAATTTCATTATTTTTGACTAAACAAAGCAGATGATCTAATGATCGTCGCCACTATCTCCTAGTCCTCTAATACTGGTTTGAAGGGTCTAAACGGTATAAACCAGCCAGAGCTAAGTCATCTGTCCAATCGACAATTATCCCTCTTTGTCTCTGAGTGATAGGGAACTAATGTCCCTTTTATGCATTATCCTGTTATTTAATTGAAGTGATTACAGCATTTTTGGGGCCATCCTTGCTTCTAGGCTCTCAGCCTTTTCAAACAGCCTACCGTTGCAATCTGGTTGCCAATTCCCATGCGCTGATGCTGCGCATGTGAGTTGTCTGAACTCCACGGAGTCCATTAACCGGATCCACACCAGATGAAGACTTTGAGACAGATGCCTTTGTTGATAAATGTGAGGGGGTCAATGCAAATACTCGCAAAAATACTTGTGGAAACAACTCCTGGTTTGTATAAACGCAGTTTATTACAGAGATATATTGTCACACCTCTAGGGGCTGGCAATTTAAACAAAGAGAGATCTTTACGAAAAAATGTCAGGATTTGATGCCAAATGCTTAAGCTGACTCAGTAATCACGTTAGAAGTGTCCCACAAAAACCCTTCGGCACACCGAGTTTTTTGTCCACCCGCAATGGGGCACATCAACATAAAAGATGGAAAGGCTTGAGGGGGTGTGGGCACTGTCAAACTGCCATTCCTCTAAGAGGGGAGCACAGCTTGT